CAATGTATCCAGCTCAGGTTACAACTCAGGGTTACCTGAAGCCGATGGGGCCAGGGGTGTCTGCCCTCTGCAGTGACTGTGGTAACTGAATTGTCAGATTGGTCATCAGCCTGATAGCAGACTTTGGGGAGACACAGAGATGGCATTCTGCCACACTTCCCCGCCTCCTTTAAAAGCTTGGATATATGGCTTCACAGAGCCATGGGTATGAGCGTGTTTCATCTGAAAGGGTCACCTTTCACACCTAAAGAGAGATTACACAACACACAAAACTGGTCATAACAACAATACAGAGAACATTAAAGCACATTGGGGAGCTACCACACCAGAGCCCTCTGAGGTAGGCCTGAGTCCATCTGACCCACTACCCAAAGTCCTTTAGCAACAGGGTATCCGCTATCACATTTTGGCTTCCCTTGATGTGTTTGATGGTGAAATTGAACTCTTGAAGGTGCCAGGCCTATTGTTGAAACTTGGCATTGGTACTCTGCATGGTTTGCAGCCATTCAAGTGGGGCATGGTCTGATAAGACGGTGAACTGTTCCCCTCCACAGATAGGGCCTCAGCTTGTCCAGCACCCAGATGATTGCCAAACACTCCTTCTCAATAGATGACAGGTTCTGCTCTCGAGGGATTCATTTCTGGCTTAAGTAAACCATAGGGTGTCACATCTCTTTGTGCTCTTGTAAGAATACGGCTCCTAGTCCTGAGTTGGCGGGATCAGTGGCTGTGTAGAAGGGCTTATCATGGACTGGTGCCTTCAGAATTGGTTGTTTGATAAGGGCAACCTTGAGGGTGTCAAACACTTCCTGGCATCCCTGCTTCTACACCACTGGATCAGGGCTGCCCTTCTTGGTTAGCTCATGTAGAAGAGTGGCCTTTGCTCCAAATCTAGGGACAAACCTCCTGTAGTATCCAGCCAGACCAAGGAAGGCTCTGACTAACTTCTTGGTTTGTGGGGGCAGCCAGTCTTTAATGGCCTCAATCCTGCCCCACAGGGGAGCAATCTGACCTCCACTCACATGATGTTCCAAATATATCACTTCAGATAGTACCAACTGGCACTTTTTGGCTTTCACGATAAGACTAGCTTGCTTGATCTCACCTAATACGGTGATTAGATGAATCAGGTGCAATTCAAAGTCCAGACTGAAGATGGGGGTGTCAACTCTCTCATCTCTGCAAGCTTCCACTTGATTTCTTCCATCACCTTTGCATTAACTGCAGATGGTCTGGATTGGATGGGACGATGACTGCCCGTGTCAATAGAGTGTATCATCAGGTTTGTTTTACCTGGTTTGTTGGAGAACACTGTCGCAAAGTCCTTAAGTGCTGCGAGCAGCTTGTCCTTGTCCTGGGAGGACAAATGATCCAACAGGCAGAGCTCCTCTATTCATGCCTCTCTACTCCAATCACCATACATGACCGGCTCCTCTGGGTCCTCAGGTGATCCTTCAGCTGAGGAAATCCAAAATACCACATCACTTCTATGAAAGTATGGTTTAAGCATGTTCATGTGTACTATTTTAGGCTTTTTGTCTGACCTGCTCCTAGCTACTATATAACTCATTGTCCAGCCTGTTCAGCACGGGCAACTGGTGCCATCTTAGTCAGAGGGAGCATGGCCCGCCCCCCCAGCGACCAGTCAGCAACCAGGGATGGGGGCGAATTCCCCTGCGGCCAATCATGAAGCAGCCATGGCTCTCCCGGAAGTGGCTGGGGTGCTCCAACTCCCCAGCCAGTGCTTGCAGGGGGGGGAACAGTGCTCTCGCCTGCCCCTCCCCCCCCCGCCTATCGCCTAAGCAGCAAGCACAGCCTGCATGTACACCAGGGCTGTCAGGGGGTGCACATGCACCCCCTATGCATTGCCACTGCTGTCCAGGATGACATGGGGATCTTCCCAAGCTGCTTGCAGCTTGTCTGTTTTTAGTGGCAGGAAAACCAAGATCACTTCACCTCGTTCAAAGGTACGCAAGTGAGCCTTTTCATCATACCAGACACTTTGCTTCTCCTGTGCCTCGGCCAGGGAGTCTTGTGCCACCTTCATCATGTCAGTTAGCTTCTGACAAAAGCTGAGCATGTACTCTACCACGGAGGTCTTAGTAGAAGTGATTTTGCCTTCCCACTCTTCTCTCACCAAATTGAAAGGACCCCTAACTAGCCTTCTGAACATTAACTTGAATGGCGAGTACTCAGTGGACTCCTGGGGTACCTCCCAGTAGATAAAGAGCAAATGCGGAAGTTTCTCATCCCAGTCACTGGGGTTAAGATAGGCCTTTAGCACACCTTTCAAGGTCCCACTTAATCTTTCTACAAACCCATTTGTCTGAGGGTGGTAGGCTGTGGTCTAGATGTGTTTCACACCACGGCACTCCCATTGGCACTTCATCACCTCAGCCAGGAAGTTTCCGACCATCAGTCAGAATTTCAGAGGGGAAACCCAGCTAAAAGAAGATCTGGGTCAGGGCATCAGCAATTACAGGTGCCTTGGTGGGGCTCAAGGCAATTGCCTCTGGGTACTGAGTTGTGAAATCCACTCGAGTCAGGATGTAATTCTTCCCTCTACAAGTCTTATGCCTCAGTGGGCCCACAATGTCTATCCCCACTCTTTGGAAGGGTTGTTCAATAAGAGGGAAGGGCTGTAGGGGAGCCTCTCTCTTGTCTCCACTTTTGCCCATCTGCTGGCCCATTTCACAAGATCTGCAGTAGTCCGCCACATTTTGGGAAATCCTGGGCTAATAAAAGTTTGCCTGCAGCCGCTGGCATGTCTGTTCCCTTCCTATGTAACCAGTACAAGGTAAATCATGAGCCATGGAAAGCAATTGTTGTCTGAAGTTAAGAGGTACTATGAGCTGGCAATGGGGCTCCCATGGTTCTTTGGTACCTACAACCAATAGAGGAGTCCCTCATCCCAGACCACCTGTTTCCTCTTATTTAGGGTGAACTTTGTCTCTGGCTCCTGAACCATCTGCTGGAGTCCCTCCAAGCTGGGGTCCTCTAGAACCTCCTGATTGAACTCCTCTTGTCTGGCTAAGCAATCAGCGGGGAGTTCTGGTGCTCCTGTAAGGAGTGCACCTTTATCCTCAGGGATGTCCTCTAACTTCTCCCCAAGTCTTGGTTTCTTCTGCTACGAAAAGAGGTTGGCATTTCCTCCACGGGCAAAATGTGGTTGGCATTGATGAATGATACACTGGCCCACATCCAGTTCCCCAACAAGGGTTCCCCCTTTTACCATTATCTCAGTCTGGTGGGTGGCCATCACCTCCTCTGGGTTTGTAATCTATAGCAACAGGTATGCCCCTTAGAGTGGCTTGGGTCTCCCTCCTCACAGCTTACAGCTGTTGCACGGCTGACTGGCTTGGGTTTGTTGCTTAGCTTTGGGCAGTTGGGCCTGATGTGGCCAGACTCCCCGCAGTTATAGTTACCCCTCTTTTCCAAATTGGTTGGCTTAACCAAATCTGAGGCTGCCTCGCGTTCTGCGGAAGGTGGCTCCCTTTCCCATTTTGGGCCTGGCCCTTCCCCCCCTTTCTGTTCCTTCCCAAAGTGGGGAGGTCAGCTGTTCAGCTCCTCTTGGTTTAGCAACATCTGCTCAGCAAAGCTACCAGCCTCCCTGGCAGTTTTGGGATTCCCGTCTTTGATCAGGTGATTAATGTCTTTGGGGCACTTCTCATAGAATTGCTCTAGCATCGTGAGTACGACCACCTCCTCCACGGTATAAGCTTTGGCTCCCTTCTTTCATTTCAGATATAAATCCTCCAACTGAGCTGCAAACTCATTTGAGGATTGTCTCGGCAGCGAGTCATTATTACAGAAGTTTTTCCAGAAATAATCTGGCCCCAACCTACACCTTTCAAACACTGCCTCTTTAAAGGCATTATAGTAATTTACTGACTTGGAGGGTAGGCTGTTCAGGATGGCAGATATGGTACCAGTTATCTGCCCTGCAATACATCTCATGTACTCTTCTTCTTCCAAGTTCCAGCGACGCGTTTGGTTTTCAAAATTACCCAGAAACACTTCTGGATCATCCCCATCTTTCAACTGGGGAAAGGTTGGGGTTTTCAATTTGGGTGGTGCCGCTGGCACTGGCTAAGGTGAATCAATCCAGCTTCTGGTTTCATGCTGCTTTTGAAGTAGTTCAAGCACAAGCTCGTGCTTGAGCCTTGCCTCTTTGGCTTCATGCTTGCACTGGCGCTGGACCTCCTCATGCTGGTGCTAGGCCTCCTCCTCCACCATCTACATCTGTTTCAGCTCTAGAGGTCATGCTTAAGCTTGCGCTCCTTAGCTTCTAGCTGCAGCTGGTATTTCCGGAAGTCCCACTCAGATAAGGGAGGAGTGCATTTACCTCCTCACACAGGGTGATTTCACCACACACTTCCATTGCTCTCATGGCACACACATATGCTACAGCACATCCTTTGGAAATCACTGTGCTAGAGGATATATCCCTGCCTGTTCTGTTTAATAGCTATTTATGGATCTATCATCCACGAATTTGTCTAGTCCCTCTTTGAACCTGGCTATACTATCTGCCTTTGCAACCTCTTGTGGTAATGGGTCCCATAAGTTGACTACACACTGTGTAAAAAAAAGTATTCTTGTTCGTTTTAAATCTGCCTCCTGTTTTTGTCATTGGGTGCCCCTTAGTTCCAGTATTCTGGGACTTGGTAAATAACAGTTATATATTCACTCTGTCCACACCCTTCATGATTAAAACCATCGAATTTCTCTATAGCTATGTGTGCACATAATTAAAAGCACTGTATTTAAAACTTTACCTTTTCTGTCACCAAAATATCCACATAAACCCTAGCCTAGAGATGGCATAATACCCTACCTCAGCATGTCTTTGTACTGCAGTACAGGTGGTGCCTCTGACTGCATCTTTTCACCTTGTATATCATTTCACCCGTGCACAGGACAATTACTAGGGTGGGAAGGGAAAAAGAAGAGAAAATAGAGGTTTCTAGACTTCATACAGAAAAAAAATATGCCCAAAATTTCACACCTGAAATGTTAGTCAATTTATTAATGAAAGTAATCAGGAGAGCATTCTCCTTAAGTATTTTGGTTTTCTTCCCCCTCCAAAAAAAAGAAAACCAATACATGCTTGGTATAGCCACAGATACCGTGGCTTTCCTGTCTGCTCCTCCCTCATTAAGTGTGTCCACACACACCGATGATACAGCCAGTTCAGTAAATTCCATCTAGTCACTTTCTAAATCAACAGGGTTGTAATCAGGGTCATCATCTTCATCCTCCAGCTCCAAGTCATCCATTTCCTGGAACAAGGATTCATCTACTTCCACGCTGTTTCCAGCTGCAAGAAGGAAAAAAAATAGTTATTTTTTATTAATTTGATGGATGCATGAACAAAATTACATTTTTTATTTCATTCAACTTTAGAGAGTAAAGGAAAATACATAGTTTTAGAGGCTGATGAAGGTGGCAGGCATGTCCTGAAACCTTTCAGTCATTCCTTGCACTACAGAAAATATCACAGTCCCCTTTACTCTGACTACCTTTGCTGTGGAGCTGCATGATCAGTATGATTCTAGTCTTATAAAAACATACACAGGGGAATTAAATAAGCCATATACTGCCTTCAGGACTGCAACCACTGAAGAGGCATTATTTGAGTATGCCTAACTTGTACTAGTTCAGTAGAATGCTGATCAGACAACATGCATTGTAAAGTTTCAAGACTACCTGTCTGTCATCCTCACTTTTGCCAAACTCATTTAACACATCTTCACTCTGTGACTGTGTCTTTCTTGGGATGCAGAAAGAAAATGCACCGCCTAGTTCTGCATCCTGCAGAGTTAGAACTATGCAATAAAACTATTTTAATCAACTACTTTCTTTAGTCCATCCACCCTTATTATTGATAAGGCATATGGAAAACAAAATCATGCATTAAGGAAGCCAGCTTCGTGGAAGAACTCTGAAACACACATTTTAAAAGTTCTACATTTAAGTAAATAATTTTGTCAAATAAATATAGCAGAGTAGATAGGACTATTGTTTGAATTTTATTTTCACAGAAAAGATGCATTTAAGAAGATAACAACAATTGGATATAGGTAGATGCGTCTCTGAAAAGTGTTTTCAGATGTCATAGTCTGATTCCTGAAAGTCTTAAAGATGGCAGAAGTGTACTTGTGTGTTTTACGTGAATGCAAGAATGAAAGCAACTAATGGATAAAACCTGTTGTATGTCACTGCTCATTTCTTCATGGAACAATAGTGACATCTTCTGGTCACTTAAATCCCAAACTCACCTGTGCACACTCCAGAAGAGCCTCTTATAATGCATTATTCCCATTTAAAAATAATGCAGAACTGCTTTGGGTTTCCCCATACAATGTATTTCCCAAAGTTACTGTAGGCCATTATATGATAAAGAGAAATTAAGCCTAAATTTTTTGTTTATTCACATATACTGCTGTTATAACCACCTGCATAATGACTAGACATGAGAGCAATGATCTTCAGTGAGGACCAAACCCTGTTCTTCTTAAATATACTTGGTATTTTTGTCACTGGCAGCAGCAGGATTATTTGCACCCTGAGTAAGTGCCGTCGTCTGGTTAAAAGTGAATGCTTTAGTTTAAAGCAGAGGTGTCAAAGATGTGGCCTGCGGAGCTGCCTGTGGGTCTTGGAGTGGATCCATATACCGCATACTTGGAAGGGGCTCCTGGGTCACAAGGTCCAAACCTGTGCATTCTCAGGCACTCATTTATCCAAGGAATACCCCAATCACCACTTCAGACCCTCACACAAAACCATATAAAGCACAATCCCAAAAGCATTACGAACACCCCATAGTATGTCACAGGTAAAAGCAGAGACAAGGGCACAGCCACTGCAATGACAGAGGAAGTAATTGGCTATTATGCGTTCAGAAAATTCTAGCAAAAATATCACGCCCTATACAACGAAGGAAGAGAAGCCCCCCCCCCCGTTTAGGCCAATCTGACATAAAAAGGTCTCTATTCCCATACCATTCTTAGCAGCTTTTCTTTGAACTGGTTCAAGTTAATCTGTTTTGAACACTGCTAACCAGAACAGCACACAGTATTCTAGATGGGGCATCACTAATTCCTTGTATGACATTAGTAACAACATGACCTACTCCATATACCTTACCTGAATCAGCCTAGCACTTTCACAGCGGCTCCACCCTACAAATCAACTAATACACATAGGTACCTTTCTTCCTAAGTTGTCTCCAGTCTTATCCTTACCATGCGTTAAGTGAACTTAAAATGTCAGCAATCGCACATTCAAGCAGTGAAACACATGCTAAGCATACTCATATTGTAGCAGACTTATATTACTACGTATCATTAAGTAACGCATGTTCCAGCTATTGTTGAACTGCTTCACAGAGATATTACAAGCAATTTGGGGTCCTCATCCAGCCATGACACCAGCCAGATGCCAGCAGCTCCAGAGGTTCCTGTGGCTGGGACCAACAATCAGCTGACTGTAGGTCTGAACTGGGACTGGGACTACACTGGAGCCAGTTCAAGACTGGTGCAGTGCAGGGGCTGAACTGACAATCAGCAAGCTGTGCATGTTAGACATCATTGTAAACATTACCACGCAACTGCTCAGAACTTGTTCTAATTTTAATACTGCAAAGACTTAACATGTGCTAAAGAGTCACATAATACAAGGCCCTTAGTATTGTCCACATATTTCATAAGGACATGTCCTAGTTCCATTACCAAGGCAGCTGATAAAAATGTTAAACAGGATGGCTGTGTCCAGACGAACACAGACATGTGGTATATGGCGTTGCAGACCTGTCGATGGCACCACATACCGCACATGCAGGCATTCTTTGTGCAACTACCTTGGCATGCCAAAACAAAACAAAACAAAACAGGGTGGTGCATGTGGTGGCAGTGCGTGCAGCCCAAAACTGGAGCCTGGCTGGCCAGAGCCACATTTTGGCCACTAGGCTTCCTGCTGCAGGAGTGCCATGGCTGCAGCTCCCCGAGGCTCCCAGGACCCTAGGTAAGGCTGCTGTGGCCAGTAACTGTGATCCAGTTGCTGGCCCCAAACTCCACTACCCCACCCAGGGTAACTTGCTGTGCACCAGAATATGCATGGCACAGGCATTCCCCAAGCACAAGGTAGGCTGCTGCTACTTGTCCCTGGAGAAACAAGTGTGCGCACTCATCTGAATGCAGCTGATAGGTCCTAAGACTGATCCCTAAGGAATACCATTCAATTACTCTCTTGTCAAACAGCTCACCTGTCAACATAAGTATTATATTATCAACATTATTTGCAGTTTAATCTTTTTATAACTGAATCTCTAAGAATGGAAACAGAAACAACAAGATTTACCTTCTTCCAAAAACTGAATATCAGAGGTGTCAAGATTATGATCCATTTCAAACAGCTGTTTTCCTGAAAGGCATAAATATAGGAAAAAAATGAAGAGGGACAGCACTAAAATTATGCAAAGGAGAAATTAGCATGTGTATCCAGAATTCTAATGACTGAAGCCATAATTTTGTGCCTCTGGTATTTTTGGAATACAGGACTGGAAGAGACCTCCTGGGCCACTGTTTCCAGTTTCTGCATTCTTAGGCAACACCTTTACAGAAAGATTCCCATCCCCATTTCCCAGCCCCTTCCAAAAAAGCCACGTGAAAGCCTTGCACACAACTACAGGGCAGAAAACCTAAAACATTAAGAGTACTCTATAACTTGTTATAAATGAAAACAAGGGAAATGAGGGCACTGCCACTGCCAGTGCTCTGCCATTCCAACAACAGAGAAATGATTTGGCTGGTAAATTCTTAGAGAACTAGGAAAAGGACTGTGCCTCGCTGTGCAGAAGGTAAGCAATCTTACAGTCCTTCCTATTCTGTAAAATTTCCTTCCCGATACCTAATTTGCCAGTTAGCATGATGTTCAATAATAATAATAATAATAATAATAATAATAAAAAAAAAAAATCAAAAAAAAAAAAATCAAGGCTCTCTTGCCAGGAACCTCTGAGTTTAAATACCAGCAGCAGCAGTGTGCCCCAGTCAAAAATCCCCAGTTTTAGTTGGGGGCAGGGGAAACTGATCACCTCCACAAGAAGCCAATATGATTTATGAGGGGAGGGAGAGGGAAAAAAAAAACAACCTAAAAACCTTCCTGGCCCCTGATCTCAACCAGCAAACACTTTGATGCAAGAAATAGCTGAGCACCTAAGCACTGCAAAAGAATTAGTTCTATACATCAACATGGGGACGTGCTTATTGGGAAACCAACTTATGTGATGCTTAGTTACAACTGCATCTCTTTTGCATAATGAAGGATTAAGCTTTTCAAGCAGGTGCTGTCCATGTCTATGGGCTTTCTTCCCTTAAAGGTGACATGGAGACCTGTGAAATGGCTTTATGAAAGAGTTAAATGTAGCCCAAGTGGAATCCAAGATGGCTTATGGGGGAAGACGCATTGTTTCACTGGCCTTACCCCTTCCCACACATGCAACTCACACTACAGAGAATGCTCTACAGATAACAGGAAGGGAAAAGAGGCATAGTGGAGACCACTGATATGACTAAAGTACATAAGGATCATTGCTCTCTGAGTGGGTCACACCATTAAAACACTTGGGCCCACATCTGGTGTAGTCAGCATGCATTCATTACACCTTTACAACAAACCCATTTTGAGACAAACAGGACCTTTTATAGAAAACAAGCATGATTTTTTTTTACACCTACACTACCTGCCTTCCAAGAATTGAATGGCTACAAACTACTCAAATATCATTTAGCATGCCTACTAATCAGAAAACTACGTTCTCCTATATTGGTATCATCACTGCAAGTGGTTTGTGAACATAATAGCTTAATTTTGCAAAAAACATTCAAACATACAAGATCAAACTCTAATAATTACATGGCAACCTTTATGCTGCAGAGACAAAACCAAAGGCCTTTGTTTACCCTTGGACAACATCTGCTTGAAAAGCTTTATCCTTCATTATACAAAAGAGATGCAGTTGTAACCAACCATTCATCACATAAGCTGGTTCCCCAGTGTGTGTGTTATGTGAAAACATGGCTTTGCAGTCCCCATGTTTCATAGTTGGTAGCACCTGACAGGACTCTCTACCAACTATGTCTCTATCAAATCCGACACCCTGCCATGGCAGGAAAGAGTACTGAGGTCAAATGACCCCAGCAAGGTGTTCATCTAGCCTCTACATGTTGACGTATAGAACTAATTCTTTTGCAGTGCTTAGGTGCCTAGCTTTCTCACGTGTCAAAGCTTTTGCTGGTTGAGTTCAGGAGCCACCAGTAACCAGAGGCATAACAAGAAGATTCAGTGTTTTGGGTGGCAGCAGAAGCTCCATTTTTGCATTCCAGGTTAGCACCCAGGCCTGGTGCCGCTGTAACACACACAGTGTTGTGTTACTTTCTATAATGTTCAATTCTCCATTCTAAGACATAAGAATAGTGAGCTAACACTATTTGCAAAATTAACAACCCATTTACAATCAGACCGTACTTTACTACTATAATCCTTTAGTATAAAAAAAAAAAAAAAATTCTTGGCCACATGGTTTTGTTCTTTTCCATACAGGTCTGGTAAGATGGCAAGCCCGAGGAGAAAGTCTTAAAGTCATACCACTTAATTTATTTTTTCCTGCTTGCTCCTCTTCTTTCATTTTTTTCCTTCTTATTTCTAAGAGCTCTGTATCAAATTTTGCTTTCCAGCTTAGGAAATTCTCAATTGTAACAGGAGTGCCATGGAAACATTCCTGAGAGAGAGAGAGAGAGAGAGAGGGGAAAAAAATGTCTGTCAATACCGCTCAGCAATACAATAATGAAAAAAATTAATATTGATTTCATGGTTGGAGTTACTGGGTGCCATAACTACCAGGCTTCAACTTAAAAACTAGGTATCTTTTAGCAAAGATGATGTATTTTATAGCTCTCGGATAGAAAAAAAAAGTAATCAAAGGGATGTGATTGCCAAAAATCCTAATTATCTTTGGACCTGTAATATAATAAAGGTAAGAAACTAAAGGTAATGCACTGGTAGGCAGAACATCTTACCAGTGATTTAAGTCATGTCACAAAACATGTAGATGAATGCTAGGGTGAATATAAAGAAATATGCTTTGTGTACAAACATTTGCTGTGAAAATACTTATTCTAGGAAGACATATTTACATCTACACCACAGATTAAGAGAAATTCTCTTCATATGCCTCTCCTCCATTACTATGGAGGGAGAGGCAAATCATTATTCCTTATGTCACTAGTTTTACACTGATGAGCATGACCCTACTGTACACTACCCACCCACAACCATGGCTACAGCTACCTTTGGGGCTTTCCTGGCATTCCT